TAGACTGCACCTACCCTAGACCCAGCTTACCCTACAGCTGGTCTACCCTATACTGGAGGCCTTGATCTTTTAAAAATTTTAACTAATAATAAACTTATAGAAAAATACTTATAAAATAATAGTAATAATAGAGATATTTAATAATATCTAAAATCTATATTAGTAAAAGCTTTATAAAAGTATTATTATAAAGAACTATTTATATTAGATATAAAAAAACTAAGAAAGAAAGAAAAGAAAATTATAAATTTATAGAAAAACTATTATAATTTTATAGATTTAAAAAGTTTATTTAATAGCTTTATATAATATACTTATATTATTAAAGAATTTTATATTATAAATACTTATTTACTATATATATATATATCTATATAATATATATCTAAAGCTCTTTATATTTACTATAAATATATAGTAAGTAGAAAGAGTTTATTTAATATAGAAGTATAATATAATTATAATATAAGTAAATAGTTAATTTTTCTTATAGCTATTAATCTAATTAGCTAGATTATAGATATTTTAAAGTAAATTTATAGTAAATTACTAGAAAGACTTTTATAAAGAAAGTTTAAAATTCTAATTCCTATTATCTTAAGTATATAATAAAGACTAAAATATAGTCTTAATAAGAGAGATAGATCTATTAGGAATAAAAAGAATTAGCTAATAAGAATATATAAATAAATAGATCTAGTATATAAAGCTATTATAATAAAATAATATTATAATCTTAAGGGGTTTTAGAAGGATTAAGAGCTAATTTATCTATTAGGAAGATATCTATTATTATATAGCTATTTAATTATAAGCCTGCTGCTAGCTAGTATCTGCTTATCTTCACTCCTCCCAGCACACACTGTTATTTATCTGACATGCCTTTACGCTGGCGGTGTCACATCCTGGAGCATCATGCCTCAGGAGGACGCATCAAGCTCAATAATGGAATTTGACTACTATCACGAGGCTGACGCAGGCTGAAAGGAATATGAAGATTATTTCAAATTCACCCGCACCGTTGCGCTGGAGGATCTCGAATTTGCTGAGAGGGCGCAGATGAATCTCAGCATCGGCATCTATACCGAGGAATTTCTTAATCCAAATAAAGAGAATGGCGTTTCGTGTAAGTTACAGATCAGTAAAACTATCTGTGCAGTTGCTGAGTTTGATTTTAGATTAACAAACTCAAGTTCTCGACATGTGCTCTGCACAGTATGAGAAAGAACGGGAAAAAGTCACAAGCTCGACCGCACAACGGCCACTTGTTCCGAGAAAAGCCCCTTTGACAGATCAAGCTTGTGCATGACCCATTTTTGGTTTGTATTTCAATTCGGTTTAATAGTAGTTTTCAGTTTGGTGTGGAAAGTAGTGGATGCCGAGTATGAGGTTCTATATTCGCTATTTACTTTAAATCAGTCACGTACAGCACTCCTTCTTGTGATATGACAGAATTCTGTTTCAACTCAATGAATTCATGCCGATTTGAAGTAAACATCGTCTTACAACGCACTATTCCAGGACGTTTAGACGTAGTTAGTGGCTTTTGGCTCCTCCAGTGTGATAGGCGGGTCCCCCAAGTAACTTGATATTCATGCAAGACAGCCACTTGGACGCCTGAAGACGACGTCAACTTACAACAGTGGCCGTAAATAGGTGATTTATCTACCTGTGTTAGCGGTCTTAGCAACAGTAGAACCAGATGATACATGCTCGGTCACACAAAAATAGTAACCCGGAACATAATTCTGCAAGGAGACCGTTTCGTCATTGACGAGTCCCATTTATTTCCTAATCACCCGGCGATCATTGGCGGTAGACGACCCCAAACATGTGGAGGTCGTCGTGATCGGAGTTGGTCACTTATCGACCCCGCAAATGATAGCACGGCCGGCACTTATTATATCACCGGCCGTTCGCCATGCTCTTGCCCCTATTCCCCATTTTCTTCAAAAGAAGCATCCCAGCCTGAGGTCGCCGCAGACGAGGTGGCCCGCAGACCCTCACTGTAGCCTTTGCGTTGTTCACCTCGTTCTCGCAAGGCCTCTCCCTATTCCGTCTGGACCAGGCTGAATGGATCAACCCCGTCAGCTACTACCACGTACTTCCAAGGGGCAGCCGGAAACGCCCCGCCGTACTAGGTCTAAGGCGACCAAAAGCCGAGACGGTTTGTTCCTCTCTTTATATCCTATCGTATATATAGACACTCACAGTTGATTTTCTAGGCTGTGTTAATTGCAAGGCAAGACGAAGGAAATGCGACGAGGGCAAACCGGTCTGTTTCGAGTGTCGTCGGCGAGGCGTCACCTGTGGCGGCTATCTCAAAAATCTGAAATGGGTTGAACAGGAAAACTTCCCACACCCGGGTGCTTCGTCGAATAGGGCCAGTAAGTTGGGGTTTTCTGAACCCGATCCACGTCGCATCGGGCTTATGGGTAATGACAGGCCTCCCTGAAGCAGATGTCCCGAGAACGGAGCCTGCGCCAAGTACATCTTCTGGCCGCCCGGATGTCCAACGATCAAAGAACCCCGGTATCCAGGAAGCTTTGCCTACAAAAGAGCTAGGTGAGGGTGGTTGGGCCAGACCAGATTTCGGGGATGCCAGCTTTGCCCCCTTTTTACCGTTTAGTGGCTGCTCTCCAATCTTGGAGATGCCTGATCATCCCGCTGCCGATATCCCTTCTCAACCCTGTTTCGGGGCATCAATAAGCCTTGACGAAACTCTTCCTCTTCACAACATTTTAAATGGTCAGAACGTCTTCTCTTCGATGGGCGATAGCTCAGAATGCCTTGCGTCGGCAATTTTACCATGTTCTCTTGATCCGCTCCCAAGTTCGCCAATTACCTACGAGTTTTCGGGCGGTAACATAGTTGAATGGTTAGAGCGCACACCTGAGCAATTAGAACCGGACCTCAACCCCTTGGACGCAATGTGGAATGCTCGTTCCAGCAGGGCGGAACCAGAAGAGCCCGGCATCACAGATGACACTGACATGTTCAGGTTATTTCAAGAGATCGACATCCCTCGCGATAGTCCAGAAAACATTGCTCGTATCTATGATCGTCGAGTATGTGAAGTGCTTTGCATGTATGGAGGTGCAAACGGAAACCCATGGCGCAAGATTGTCTGGCCGCTTGCTCAAGAACATCCTGCACTCTATCATGCCATAGCGGCCATGACATATTTTCAGATGTCCAAATTTATTTCTGAAGGCGTCACTCATTTCAAACATAGCATCCAAGAGCTAGCTACTGGTAGCAACAGCAGTAGTATGCGTCTTGAAGTGGCGTTGGTCATCACCCTGGTTCTCGCCTTTGCTCAGACATGGCATTACCCGCGATCATCCAACGGCACCCGGTTCACCAGAAGGGCGAGACCGCTTGTTAAAAGGGCTCTTGCCGCAGTTCCAAGGTTACAAGCATCTGAGAGTAGTATTTGCCTCAGTTTTCTGGCCAATACCTGGATGTACCAAGACACCATCACACGGATCACTTGCACCGACGCACAAGAGATCGACCTTGAACTCATGGCCTCCTGCAGTCAATTAAGCCTCCGAAATAGCTCTGAGCTACCTATAGATCCTCTGATGGGATGTGCAGGGACACTATTTCCTTTGATTGGCCGCGTGGGTGACCTCGTTAGATGTGTCAGAAGAGCACGACAAGCCATAAACTCCCCTGCAACGGTGTCCTATGCCGCGGAGCTGAAGGGCTCTATCGAAGCTTGGGTTCCTCCAATCGACTTAGAGGTCCCATTCGGGTGCCAGTCCCCTAACTTAAGTACCTCGGATCTGGTGCAGACGGCCAATGTTTTCAAATGGTCCACCATTCTTCTGCTGTACCAGGCAGTCCCAGAACTCCCACGAAATCTATCCTTCTCTGAAATGGCTCAGAAGATCCTTGTTCTTGTTGCCACGGTGCCTCTTAAATCCCGTGCGCTTATCTTCCATGTGCTACCACTTATGATCGCGGGCTGTGAGGTTATCGATGCAGAAGACAAGGCCTGGGTTCGCAGCCGATGGAAGTCAATGTCTAGCGAGATGACCTCTGGAATCGTGGAACGATGTCTAGAGCTTACTTTAGAAGTATGGAGAAGACGCGAAAGCCGCGCAAACCTGTGCGCCTTGTGCCTTAATTCTACTCACGGCTCAACGACTGAAAGACTTCCCACACTCGCCCCCGGAGTCATTAACTCGCAGATGGGACCAGCGCTACGATCCGATAGCGGTGTTGGAGAGACGTTTTGCCAGAGTTGTCTCTCAGATGATGCGACAGGGGCGTCTGAATTTTTCGATTTCTCTACTTTTGCAACGCATACTGGGCCTCGAATGACATCTGGGCACCGGGAATATCTGGTGACAAGCAAAGATCACTGGTTTAGCATAATGGAGGAATGGGGCTGGGAAGGTAATTCAAATATCCCTCTTCTTTTCCCCCCTCTCTTACTTTATGAAGGATAGCTAACAAGGAGAAGTGATGCTCGGGTAGGCCTGCTGGCACATGACTTTTTTTCTTTTTGGAAGATATATGGAGTCTAGTTGCTTATTGCAGTGGGGGTGATCGGCTACGAAATAGCGAAGAGTGCATGATGAGATCTCCAAGGTTGGGTAGACGTTCCCGGCGATTGCTGTCAAGAGTAGGAGAGACCGGAAAAGAAACCACTGTCAAACTGGACTTCTGGTGTCGGACAATGCCAAGCCGCGGGGGTGGTTCTGAGGCTTGATGCGACGTGTTTCAGGGACAACTGTGTTTGACATGGGATGAAACACGGAATTAACCAACTTGGCAACGCGGAAGCAGCGAAGCGAAATTTGATTCAAGCATTAAAACCAACACGAGGCAATGCAACAAAAGGTGGAAGACAATCTCCTCTTGTCATTGAGTAGAGGATATATTCCCGTCAGATCTCCCGTGTTTGCAGTAAGCAGCTTGTTGTTCACTTTCAGTCCATTTTCATTGAGCAGGCATCTCTGAAGTAATAATTTATCCTTTCGTTCGCTATGATTTCTTCCTCCTTCCTGATCTTTGCGCTGGGCGCCTTGCAGGCAATGGCTGCCCCTGCATCTGGTCGGGTATCGAAGCAGGCACCGACTGTTCATTTCTGCGGAGACAGTACCATGGCCAAGGGCGGCTCCAATTCTGGAAAAACTGATGGCTGGGGCAACTACATTGGCAATTATTTGACTACTACAGTGTCCAACCACGCCATTGGCGGCCGATCAGCCCGTTCGTACTGGGACGAGGGAAGATTCCAAGCCGTGGCTGATACTGTTCAGTCAGGTGACATTGTTGTTATTGAGTTTGGACACAATGATGGTGGTAGTCCTGAAAAGAACGACAATGGTCGTTCTGACTGCCCTGGTGATGGTACTGAAACCTGCACGTCGAGTTCGACGGGCAAGACGGTATACACGTTTGTCTACTACGTGACCCAGGCGGCGAAGCTCATGACTGCCAAGGGGGCATCTGTGATTCTTAGCTCTCAGACTCCCAACAACCAGTGGGAAACGGGCTCTTTCGAAGGAGGCGCGAGCCGCTTTGTAGCCTACACAAAGACAGCCGTCACTGCCCTCAACGATGAGTCTGTTACATATGTGGATCATTTCCAGGCAGTCAGCAACATGTATAAGAAGCTTGGTGCTACCGCTGTCAATGCCTTTTACCCCTCTGATCACACCCATACGAGCCCTGACGGTGCCGACGCGGCCGCCAAGGCCTTCGTACAGGCTATCTACCAGTCTCTAAACGGTGAGACGAGCTTAAAATCATATGTCAAGGAGCCCGTTACTCTTGTCTACTAAGCGACAAGGGAAGAAAACATCGGTTGGAGTTGAGAGATTGAGAATTGGAGTTCATACTTGTATAACGCTCCATATTTCTCAATATAATCAAATATTACGTGCATTTGAAGGGGAAAGATGAATAGCATCGTGTCTACATCTGTGAATAAGGTTTTGAAGCAACCTTCTGTTCAGCATACCAAAACATGGTAGTTCTATGTAGGTGAGCGCAATCGATTCATCTTTGGTCAGCGGCTGTTGTACTATGGCAATCTTCAGCGCATTGCCAAAAGGCTTTTGTTCACTCTCTGCTTTTCAGGATAAGTCATCGTCGCCCAGCGTCTCGATTTTCACGAGCCTTCACTGCATTGAATATCCTCCTCTGAGTAGGACCAGTAAGTTCCAGTGCCGTCCGACCGACTTTTAGCTTTGTCCAGACATTCGTTTTGAGGTGTGCCAGCAGTCGCTTCACTATTCCCTCATTTTCTCGGGCCACGCTCAGATGTAAGGGCGTCCAACTCTCCTCATTGGCAAGATTTGAATCGATCTCGGGCCTCTTAAGGAGCGCGGAAACGATTAGCTTGTAGCTTCCATTCACAGCACAGAGGAGAGGTGACCAGCCCTCCACATCCTGAATATTTACGTTAACAAGTGATGGCTTGATTCTGTCGCCGAGCTCAAGGAGCTGTTCCACCACCTGTATGACCCTCCCGAGCCGCCCACCAAAGTGGCGTTCTTTCCCGTGCATCTCCTATATTCGGATTGATACGCTTGTCTCGCATAAGCTGCATGACGGACCCAACCCTTCCTTTTTTTGCGTTGATCAAAAGTATCGTTTCTCCGCCTCCCAGTCCAACTCCTCTAGCATGTACTGGTTTGAAGTTGTAGGCCAGCTTATTCAGCTCTGTAGTCATGCGATGAGTCTTGACCAAGTATTCTTGTCTGCGAATTTCGGATCTTCTATTGACATCAATGTCCGTTCTTGTAAGCAGGAGAAATATGAGTCTGGGTGCTTCCTCCTTCAGGACAGCAAGCTCCAGAGGCGTATGATTGTTTTCCCCAATTTTATTCACATCCAAATCGTTTCGACGCAGCAACAACTTGACTATCTTCCTGTTGCCACGCTTAACTCCGTGCTGGAGCGGTGTCATCATCTCCAGACCTGTGCTCATTGAAGGCCTGTTTGGGTCCACGTCATGTTGCTTGAGGAGCTCTCTGACCACACTAGTATTGCCGCGGGATATCGCAGTGAACAAAGGCGTGGGCTCTTCTTCCCCTCCCTCGTTTGGGTCTCCGATTTCAGGACGATCGAGAAGACTGCGTAGAGTCACATGTGTACCTTTCAATGCAGCTAGACCCAGCATACTAAGTGAACGTCCTGCTGCACCTGTCAGGGGCACTCTGGTAGAGACATCAATATCAGTTCGGCCAAGAATACTTTGAGCCATTTGATCGTGTCGCCTCAGAACAGCTCTTGCTAGCGGCGCGAACCCCTTGGGTATGAGATTTGGGTTCAAGCCCTTGTGAGCAATGAGCAGCTCTACCATTCCGGTATCGCCATTATCAATTGCTATCATTAAAGGTGTATGATGTGTATCTTGTTGTCTATAGTTTGGATCGACATCCTTATGCTTTAAAAGTAAATTTACAATAGATCTCTGTCGCCAGAATACAGCAAGACCTAAAAGAGATTTATCGGCCTTGAGAGGAATATTTGGGTCGAGCTTATACCTGTCGAGTAGTAAGCTCGTGATTTCACAGGAGCCCCTTCTGGCGGCGGCCAATAATTGACCCTGTGAGCCAGAACGAAGTTGAGAGCCAACATCAAGTCGGTTTATCAGCAAGCGAGCAATGTCATCATGCCGACACCTTATCGCTGCTGCAAGCGGTGAGTCTCCCCATGCTGTCAATGAATCTGAGTCGATTTCCTCTCGTCCAAGAAGTGTCTGGACTGTATCCAGCCATCCCCGCCTCATAGCCCATAGCAAGGCAGTCAACCCATTTTTAAAGCTGCTCTTCACCTGAACACGGCCCTCCTTCACCAACAAGTCTACTATGTCTTTCTTATTTCTCTGCGCAGCAAGCACAACAGGAGGCTCACCGACCAGGGTCTGCACGTTCAAGTCAGCGCCATGTTTGACGAAATGGCGGACTATCTCCACGTGCCCACCGAATATGGCTGCAATCAGAGCATATCCATATAAGGCATGATTTTGGTTCGGATTTACGCCTTTTGCGAGTAGCGACACCACAGCCGATGCGTTCCCATGCGACGCAGCAAGATGCAGAGCGCCGTTAGCCATTTCGGATGCATGAGTTTCGGTGTCATCCTGGTCCAAATCATTCCTGACTGTCTGAGCTTTTTCCTGATCAGTCCTCAATGAACTGTCTTGGTTTATTGACACTCCAAACATCGCGTTTTGCAAAATCCAGTCACCTTCATGACGAGCGACAATGGCGCGGCAATGTCCAATTCGGAGACTCTGTGCTTGATATGGCCCTCTAGAAAGGATCAGATCAGCGTCCTTGTTATGCGAGTTGGTAAACTTGAAAGAACATACCCCAATGTATCCAATCCACTGACCTGTAATGCTCGTATTAGTGGGAACCAATCTTGGTAGAAATATTGCACATACAACAGCCTCCTATAACAAATGGGATAATGAACCATGTTCGAGTGCGTAACATCTGGTAAGCGTGAACAATCGTGACGAGAAGAAAGCGGGCGATAAAAGTCATTGCCGCAGCCAGAGATGGACCATATCTATACAGCTCGAAGGATATCTCGTCAGAAGACATTTTTGAAAACAAATACAGTGAAATGAACTAAAGGCGTAATCGAAGAGAGAGGAGGCCAAAATGAGATGCTGTGATCGTTGTTGGTAGGTAGAGAATTAGATGGTTGAATTGATAGCTTTATATCTCAACTAGCCCATGAGAATTTCATGCACATACGAGTCCATCATGGCGAAGGAAATGCTTTGATCTCACTCAGCCTCGAAAATGCACTTGCTGCACAGGTGAAGCCCGCTATTATTAAATCTAAGCACGTAAATACGAAAATTAAAGATGGCATTTCATGAACGAGCCTAAACAAGCTGCCCAAGCGATGCTAATAGTCGTTTAAACTCGCTTATCGTCCTCGTTAATCTCGTTTAGAATGATTGTTCAGGGGTCGCGGGCGCTCCACCCCTCGTTCAAATCTCAACCCAGACCGACGGCGTCTGAAAGTCAGCTTACATGTTTGACTAAACTCGGAAATGGATGTGATCAACAAATCTTGGCTCAAGGATTCGGGACCTTGGAATTAAATCATATACTACTTACTATAAGGCCACATTACCTCTCTTGGTCTTGTTGAATTTGAGGGTGAAAGCCTAAAGAAAAACCAACCCCGATAGCCCACCAACAGTTGAGGTTTACGAAATAGAAGCCTACATTTTCTATGCCGGAAGGGATGCACCCACGATGTTCAACTGATGATCATGAGGTATCAGTCACGCTTAGGTCCTGCTGCATTGAGCTATCGGCCCTTGTAAGAATACAGTAGGTGGCTCCTAAGTCCCGACCATAGCTTCTCATATCTACTCCCCTTTTTTTTCAGTATGTACATCCGCGAAGGTATTTATTACAGGCGGAGTTACCAAGGACTGTTGTGTTAAGACTCACTATAGAGATTGCTGATGATACTCATCTATTATTATGAACCAATTCACTATCACTTCAACCAACTCATAAGGACTACCTGTTACCAGTAGTATATCTGTCAGTTCTTATTTTTCTGCATTGCCAATGAACTCGGCTAACTATAATTTAGGTTCAGCTACATCCGAGACAACTGGGTTGATTAAAGTTCCACAGCCAGAACTAATGCTAATTTGTTGATGGCATCCTGCCCTCAAGTACCTGGGCGGCGAGTAGCTGTGTCCAATACCTGATGGTGTTCCCGTCAGAATCAAGGTTCCAGCCGGCAATGTGGTATCCTGGTATTCGTGTTAGCATCACAGGTAAGTGGCCTTAATGTGTTTCAGGGCTGGCTGCTACCTTTGATAAGTATGAAATTATCTCTGCGACAGAAAAGATCATTTGCGAGGATGTTCCGTCTTGTAGGACATGACCATCCAACTTAGTCTTCATGTCCAGATTTTCTATATCCAAACCAGGAGCCTTAGGGCTCACAAGAACAGGTCCTAGTGGGCAAAAGCCGTCATATCCTTTCGCATAGCCCCATTGCGAGACTCTCGCTTGGACGTCCCGAGCTGTAATGTCATTGGCTATGGTATAGCCAAGAACGTAGTCCAATGCAGAAGATGTGTCCACGTTTTTGCACTCTCTTCCAATTACCACAGCTAGCTCAACTTCTGCATCAATTGCTGCCGGCGCACTTGAGGGGAGAACGACTGGGTCAAAGGGGTTGTTGATGCACTGCGCAGGCTTGAAAAATACCTCGGGTACACTAGGGGGCGGACATTTCAACTCGGCCTGAATCGAATCAGTATTTCGTCAGGATTACTCAAGCATCGGACTTACAGCATGGTCTTTGAAATTCAGCCCAATGCAACGAATTGTTCCAACCTCTTGTGTGGATAATGGTGATAGTAGCTGTAAACCGGTCAATGAGAACCTTCACCAAAATTATCTGGGGGGTAATCTCACCTTTCTGACAACTGCAACCTCTCCAGTCCATGGGCCGCTTGAGAGAGCAGATGAACCACCCAAGACCTTGACCCGTACCTCCTCATTTGCGGCGATGGCCAGGCCAACTGAATTATGTCGTCAGGGTGAGCATTAAGGCCTCAACTTGAAATTGAACTCACCATCGACACTTGGATCCTCGGGCTCTCCGCAAAGCTCTCGGTTGTCTGTAGAAACGAAGCGCACAAAGCGACTCCATGCCTGTGATAGCTGAATGAGTATATGGAATCGACCCATATAAATGAGACATCGAATGCGCTTACCGGTGATTCGCTCATCGTGCAAGAGTTCCCTCCTTTCTAAACCGTAAAAGAGAAAAGGAAGAGAAAAGCATCAAATACGACCGCAGCACGGAAAATCAATTTCTTTAAGCAGGGCACTGAGGCCGTTTCCCTTTTGTACCGAGATCCGTCGATACGCCCAGGAGGTCCTAGAAGGGATCCAACTCGACTGAGACCCAGTGTCACCGTCTCGGCGGACACTGTCGCGCGCACAGTACATGTGAGCGGCGACGCTAAGAGATATGCGTTCTCGTCGCCGTCCATTGGCGGCGATGGCGATGTCCTCTTTTGTCCCAGGGTGGTGGAACTCGCCCTTATCAAATACCCGCACTTACTTACTCATGAGAACATGACATGGAGATATCACAGATATTGCCTAGTCGCCGCCGCCCAGCGTGCGCGAATAGAGTAGGCGACTCGCCGCTGATCTTATCGCCGCTACGACTCTGTGATGCGACTCATGTCATGGATGCGCGGCCGTGACAGCTCTCTCCACCAACATAAACTCTACAAGCCAGGGGTCATATCGAATCATTACCACATGGAAATTACCCCAGACGGCAAAGACCCCAGACTCATTGGCATGGCTACTTAAAGCTGACCGGTTGCCCCGATACAACCATACCATACCAGCATCATAACCCTTTTCTGTACTGCCAACTAGAGCAGCAGAAGAACGCCTCGACTTTTTCAGCATCTCTCCAGGCCCTTCATCATGGAAAAGAAAGACGCAAAAGGCTTTACCGGCGAAAGCGACGTTGCGTCTGCTAGCCAGATGCTTGCTCTCGATCCCAAGGTGGAGCGGAGGTTGGTGCGCAAACTGGACATTTGGATCGCGCCCGTCATGACCATCATCTTCCTGACTGCGTATCTTGATCGAGCCAATATTGGTAACGCAGCCTCTGCAGGCATGAAGACTGACATTAATATGAGCGACGGAGAACTTGGAAGTAAGTATTTGTGTCACCAAGTATAGGAAGACCCTTTGGGCGGCCCTGGAATCAAGCTGATGAGAAGAACCAGACGCTGTTACATTGTTTTATGTCACCTATGTTGCGGCAGAGGTCCCCTGTTCTCTAGTGCTCAAGAAGTTTCATCCGAGTCCGTCCGCCCCCTCCGGCCGAGAGAAATTGCAATACTAACAACTACAGGCCGCATGATTCCTCTCCTCATGTTCTGCTGGTCCGTTGTTCTCATTGGGACCGGCTTCATGCATAACGTCGGCCAGCTATATGCCTCTCGACTACTCCTCGGTCTCTTCGAGTCCGGCATGTTCCCGTGTCTCGCACTCTACCTCAGCACCTTCTACCAACCACGCGAGCAGGCTCTACGCATCTCCTATCTGTTCGTTTCGTCAGCGCTGTCAGGTTCTTTTGGTGGCTTGTTTGCCTTTGCACTGCTGAAAATGGACGGTATCGGCGGTCTCCAAGGCTGGCGCTGGCTCTTCATCATTGAGGGATGCGCAAGTGTTGTGATTGCTATCGCCATCTTCTTCCTCCTCCCAGACGACTTTGAGCATGCCAGATTTCTGAACAAGGAAGAGAAGCAGATGATGCGAATTCGGGCCGAGATCAATGCTCGATACAACGGCCGGCCCGACTTTGACTGGGCAGAAGTTAAGAGGGCAGTGTTGGACCCGAAACTTTACATCAGCTGCTGGAGCCAGTTCATGGCTGACATCTGCTCGTTTGGTCTGTCCTCGTTTCTGCCGCTGATCATCAAATCTTTTGGCTACGATACTGTCACCACCCAGCTTTTGACGGTCCCCGTTTTCTTCTGGGCTTCGTGCGCGTACATTGTGGTTTCATGGATGTCTGATCGCTGGCAACGCAGAGCTTTCTTCATGATCCCAGCCTGCTTCGTAACCGCCATTGGGTATGCGGTAAACTTAGGTGTACCCACCAGTCAGCGTGGTGTACTCTACTTCTCAACCTTTCTCATTGCTCCGGGTGTTTACATGATCGTCGGGCTGAACTGCGCTTGGCTTCTGAACAGTCACGCACCGTACTACAAGCGAGCCATGGCTATAGGAATGAACCAGTCCATTGGAAACTCGGCAGGCGTTGTGGTGAGTACCTACTTTGGGCATTATGTGTATTACACAAAAGCTAATCATCGATGATAGGTGGGCCAAATATTCAAGACAACACAAAACGGAAAGTATGTCATGGGATTGAGCGGTTCTCTTGCAGCCGTCATGCTTGCTGTCCTTGGACACACCTCTCTGTACTTCTACTTGAGACACCAGAACCGAAAGCGGGAGGCGATGACGGAGGAGGAACGGGCCCAAGCCATTGAAAAGGGGGCGACGGGAGACTTCCACCCAGACTACCGATACGCGCTGTGAAGTGGTCCCCGGAAGCTCACCTGTTGGGTTAATATCGGGACACATATTTACACTTCGTTAATTTCTAAACATCACTAAACATAGCATTACTCCCTCCAGTGAACTAAGCATTTTTGCCCAATTATGCAGCTTCAGCCTAGTATCCCACTGACAAACATTTGCCTAAATAAGTGAACTATGTGATTTTTGCGTACTGGAAATATCTTCTTGCCGGCGAGTTAGCTCAGCCGATCCTACATCGTATCACAAACTGCATCAGTTGTAATCATCGATGCATTCATAAACATTGAATTTGTAGGAGAGGGGCTTGAAATGCCTACCAATGGTACGTCTACCCAAGCCCATACAGCTCTAGTCATGCCCAAGTGTGTGTGAGTGAGTGGACCAAAGGCGGACAAGGATCCCCGTCACATGCGGCGATGATTCTCCGACTCGCGCATCTTCTCCGCTCTCGTCGCCGCCACAATCGCCGCTCACCCTCCCTTCTCTGCAACTGATACGTTCGCCATCATCAATACCACTCTGGGCGATAACAGGAACCGGCATCTCGCGGACGATTTATGATGGAGCATCAGAGTCTCACCGCCCATGAGGTGTTGACGTCGCCCCCAATGTCTCAATCGAGGAATTCACGCAGTAATGTCTGCACGCAATGTCGCCGCTTGAGGCGCAAGGTTGGTTCCCCTGCGATTTGATGTCATGGTCCCAGGAGCAGCCTCTATCTGCTTCTGATGCTGGTTGATTAGTGATACTGAGCCATTCTGCCTCTATCTAGTGCGACAGGCAGACACCCTGCTCAACCTGTATCCGACGCAGGATACCAAACCTCTGCCGCCCTGGCCAACCTCACCACGGGGTGCTTGGCAACAGGGCTTCGACGTCCAGTACAGCAGAAACTCCCTCGGCCGGTGTTTACACAAGCCATCTGAGTCCTCCCAGAGCACCATCACAACCCCCTCTATCGGCTACCCCATCAGCGACTCACCAGAGTTTTAGCTCTCCACGTATCGGCCACCTCTGGAATTCACGCGGTGCAGCCTCCTACCATGGGAGCAGCTACTTCGGCCACCAATCTGCAGCCTCCCTGGTGCAGATCGAGAGCCCCGAACTCCCTGCAGGCATGAACGGCATCCATGCAAATACCGCCTCGCGGGGCCGCCCTCCTGATAACCTTGTCCATCATGGCGGCAAGGAGCCCTACGCCCACATATGGGAGCTGGTTGGCTGTCTTCCGCGGCGAAAGACAGTTGTCGATCATCTTGTGAACAGGTTCTTTGATGAGCTGAACCCCGTCTATGACAGTGTGCATAAGGAGACGTTTCAAGTCAGTTATGATGCATTTTGGGATCGGAAATGGGGCGATGATGACTTGACCGCCGTTGATCTGCGATGGCTGGCGCTTTTATTCATGATGCTGGCGTTTGCTGAGTTGCTAGACTGCCCATTGGATACCACTGTAGACGGCCAGAGGGCTTGTGAAGAATCTTCCGTGCAGTTCTTCTGGGCATCGCGCAAAGCCATTGTACTCGCACCTACCATCTCCGGAGAAAGCCCTGACCTAGTTCGAGCAGGGATCCTGGTGAGCCGCTATCTTATATTCTTCGGGCGGAAGACCGAGAGTTGGCTCACATCAAGTTTTGCCATCCGGATGGCCCAGGCGCAAGGAATGCATCTCGACGGTGAGAGTTGGCGTCTCCCACCCAAAGTTCTGGAGACGAGAAGGCGGCTATGGTGCATCTTGTTCTCGTTAGATCGGTCGCTCTCATTAACAACCGGGCGCCCATACACAATCAACAGCAAGCACTGTATGCTCATGAAGATTCGGAATATCTGGATCGATGACATGTCCAACGAGGAAGCCGCCGAAGCCATCGAGAAACCTCTGAGCGACCCGACAAGGACCATATACTACTCGTATCAACAGCGCATGTCCACGATTCTGGGCGACATTCATGACGACTGTTTCAGCCTTGAGCCCACGACAACATCGTATAGCACTTATGAGAAAGTCCTCCAGTTAGATCGCGTTCTTCTAGATTGGGCTGACTCCCTGCCCCCTTACTTTCGTATTGAGCAAACTGACACTTCCCTCGACGATACGCATCCATTTCTCTTGTGGCAGCGAATGTATCTTCACTCCTTATATCACTTCGCTCGAGTCACCCTTCACCGCAGCTATGTCCTTCTCGAATCCATCACCGGTCGCTTCCAGTATTCTCGCGACGCCTGTATCTCATCTGCCTGCGCCGATCTGCGCCTCAAGTTAACATTCCGCCCAACATCAATGGCCGATCGTCTAAAAGCTGGAGGAGCGATGCACAACCTCTTCAATAGTGCGTTGGTTCTAGGCGTCATTGCTGTGCGAGATCCACACTCGCTTAGAACGCGCGGTATCTTGGAGGATCTGGCTGCCTACTGCGAGAAACAACGGGCAGATATATGGGTAAAACAATTTGCCCTAGCTGAGGTGAAAGTCATAGAGCTGTGTATCGCGACCGCGAGGAAAACGAGCCGAGAAGGCCAACCTCATAATCTAAATCACCAACAGGTGGAGCCAGTGGGGAGATCAAGCGAAGAGTTTCCAACCTTTCAGCGTACGGGGCCATTCCCTCAATCATCAACCCTCATGGGACCTAGTTCAGGGGAAATGGGAGGCACACATCTAGGTATGGCGAGTGCGAGAACTCAGATGGGGCTTCCCACTGTTGCTCAGAACAGCCTTCCTGGTATCGAGCATACAGGCAACGGGGTTGATCAAGGAGAGACTTGGCTAGATAGCTGGTTTGGGCCCACACGCAACTTCCCTGAACCCCTGGACTTTCAATTCTGGGAGGATCTAGTTGGCACACTCGACTCACGGTAGATGTGTAGGCAAATCACAACGCAAACAACAAGAAGAGTACACTAAAGTTATGCTATTTCAACTAGGAAGACCACATTCAGGTACTATCATCTTTGAATTGTAGAGTTGTTCCAAGCTTTAATGTCTCTTTGTTTCACGAATTTTGCTATTGAGGGAGATTTTGGTCCTTACTTTGAATCTCATCGCAGGCAAACGTGATAGTAAATTGTTGTCAGCCATGTGGCAAAGATAACCCAATATTTTTATCCCATATTACGAAACTGATAGCCAAGAATCCTGGTCAAGGAGGTGGCGGTTTGATCTCACGCTACACAAGCCAACAACGCAAAATCGCTCAACCCGCTGTCTCCTCTTTGGGTGTTTCTTTGGCTGAATTCAGTCGAGAATACCCAATAACACGGCTGTGCATCATTCAATCCGCCATGGATCATAAAGTGATTGATACGATACCATCCATAGCCGAGCTTTCTTGACCACTGACTTTCTTTATCTGGAACATATGTTACTCTAAACCAGACAATGTGTAGCCACTATCTAGTTGCTCGGAAGGTGAAAGGCATTTTGGATGGTCACATTCTATCCCAGGCTTATCAGCGACCAACTTGAACGATGTGAGCGTTGACCACCGTCAGCCCCCTTTCTTAATTAATCATGGAGTTGTTTTAGGGCGGGTTACCACAGTGGTAGCAATACGTAGTCTTTTTTAAGGGCACCATGCCCCCAACCTCCACTGCAGCCGGTTTCAGCATCCCGAATCCCACTTTAATCGCCAAGGGTGGTGCATATCATTACGCATCACGACGGCACATCCGTGTGGTGTTTTTCTTCTGGAATACTTCTTTCAGAAGCTGAGAACTGCCGGGCACAGTGGCTGAATTAAAGGGGGTTTCAAACCCATGGACGGCCAATCAGGCTGCCAGAAAGCATTGTCAACTTCTTATTCGGTGCGCTATTGTGACAACACCTTCTAAATGCGTGTTAGCCTAGGGGTTTGCAAGGATGTCGCCGTGAGGCAAACCATGGCTGCACTCTAGCAAAGGAATCAAAGTAACGCCATGATTGGGACGTTCGAGCCATCCTTGGGAGCCGCCTCCATCAGGAAGGCAAGGAAGAACCACGTTCGATAAGGCTGTCTGAAGGTGCCTGATTTGTCTTCTGTGTATTTAATATACAGTATCGCCCATTCGTTTCAATGACGATGACTGCTTGGCATCCAATTGGAGCACCCAGCGAGGTAGACCAACCTACCACTGCCACTCTTTTGTAAAGAACTCAATGATTTCAAACTACTGGATAGTTATCTGATCCTCGTTACCACCCTCTCTCAATTCATTGCGGCATTCCTTAGTACACTCCTTTTGAATATACAGTACCCTCCATCAGTCGATACCATGGCCCGCGTTACAAGTTTAATATGCATTGTTCTACTCCTCAGGAGCTTTGCGACCGCGAAACCCCTCCATCATCGTGCTCATGGTAGCCATTCACACAAGCTGGCACATGAATTAGTATCCCTCAGCGGCGACAACACTGGCCCTGTCATCCGAAGCGCTACCGAGTCCATCGTCCTAAAGCCCCTCCGACCGAGCCGCGGCCGCAAGTCAGCACGAGATGGCATGAACGCCTTCGAGGTTCTCAGCGAAGACTACCTTTACTGGGCTGGATCCGATGGTACGGTCACTGAGCTCAAGGTAGACATGTCCGGCGCAAAGGAGGGTCTTGTTGATACGGAGTACTGGAGTGATCTGGTCGAATCGATGGATTGCCCCAATGGTAACGGCAGCACAGGAGTAAATGGGACAGAGCAGGTGACTGTTCGATTCTCGGAGAAGTTGGACTTTGATGACGCTGCGGACATCTGGAAATGGGTCAAGCAGGATGAGGAGCGTCAATTTGTGCTGATGGTTGGCGCCGGAGACTGTGGTTGGAACGAGGACCGCATTCTATACCAGATCAACGATATTGGCTTCGACGATCCGGCAAACACTGCAATGCTCCGTGGAAAATCGATCAGCTGGAAAGATGCTCTTCACACCTTTGAGCTCCACATTGGCAAGTCTGCTGTACAAAGCGCTCAGGCTCAAAGGACCACTGTTAGGCGCGGACTCTTTGACTCCATCGGCGATGTCTTCAGCGACATTGGAGATGCCCTGAAGGGAGAGTACAACCCTGATGTTTCGATCCCTTTCGAGCACGATCTCTCCGGAAAGAGCCTCAGTTTCCCCGTAGATGATGGGCTCACCATTTCGGGCACGTGTTCTAACTGTTCAACCTCTGGCACGTTTAACATCGAGGGAAGATTCCGTGTCAAGTTTTTCAAACTCAAAGAGGCTGTCATTGAGTTAAGCACAGAAGGAATAGATGTCACGACCATTATTCAGCTTGGCTTGAAAGGTGATCTCACTGATGCACTCGTTCAGAAGAGTTTGTCTCTTCTTAAGCTGTCCCCAGGAGGTGTTTCTATTCCTGGCATTCTCACTATTGGTCCTACGGTCGCCATCTCGCTTGATGCCGGGATCTCTGCTATCAAAGGAGCCGTCAAGCTTACTATGGGTGGTACAGCTTCTATTCCTGCTTCAAAATCCACGCTTGACTTCTTGGCCGAGGACAAAACCACGTCAACAGGATGGGACGTGCAGATGAGCCCATCGCCGTTGGAGGCTGATGCCTCTATTGAGGCAGGAGCGTCTGCAGCCTTGACAGCTTCCGTGGGGCTAGAGTTGACTGCTCTTGGTGGGTGCAAACAAACGAATGAACAGTGTGGTTTACCGAGACTAATGGTTTAATTCGACTTGCAGAGACTGGATTTGCAGCTCAGCTGTCGGCTGCTTTACCCAAACTCTCGGCGGCATTGCAGGCTATCTCGTGTAAGCTCTCCTAGTCGCCGATGTACCCTCCAAGTATGGAAGTTGATATCATCCACACAGCTTTGACATGCAATGCTTGCAAAAAGTACTCAAATGCCATTTCCGGCTCTGTTGGCCTCAGCACATCTCTCTCGTTAGACTTGAGAAAGAAGATGGGTAGTTCGTATAAGAACCTTTGGAGTCTGACTTTGGCAGTAAGTCATAACAAATCCATTCGTTATAAGTATCTCTAATTTTTTTGGGTGCTTTAGGAGAAAACTTTGGCTACGCTTGCCTCATTCTGTGAGCCCGTTGGTCCCCAAACATGTGCAGTCAATGGTACCTACAGCTTGGCTGAGCGATGGGGCCACTCTTCAAAACTGTACCATTGATGTAGCTGTCTGAAAGAGGTTGGATAAGCAAAAAGAAACTGATGTATTTTTGCGGGCAATTTTAGCGCATAACTATAGATCTTGAACTAGCAAAGACTTCACTGGTGGAGGACATTGGGGATATATAGAGCTAGCACTAATATTTGTTAGGATGTTCCTTCGAGAGGTATATTCTAGGATGAATAATAGTAGTAAATAAATCATAGTAGACCTAGGCTATTCTTTAAACTACTTAGTATACCCGTATCGCTATGTTTGACATTAGCGGACGAGAAGAGCCTCAATGTTAAAACGTTGTTTGTTCGTATTGCCCCAGACAGCCTCCTGCCAGAGCTTTTCAGAAAGTCCCGCTCCAGCAGAATCCTCCGGCCAGCTGACAGCCGACAATGCCTCCCTCGCGTCTTTCCAATCTACAACATGCGCTCTTCGACTCCAGCTTAGGATGCGCTGGCCGAACCAAAGACGCAACATCTGAAAGGGGCTACTATCATCTTCTGCTCGACCACTAACATCTTCGGCTGCTAGCTGCGTCTTAGCGATAGTATATGCTCCCGTGAAGACCTTCCAGAGCCATATCTTATGACTCTCTGTCCCAGCCCTCATTATACCCTCTGTGCTGTCAATGTCCCTTGTCAACCGGAGATAGAGCTCACTGTACACATGACAGTCGTTTGCGGGCAAATCGGCTTCAACATTATTGACGTACATAGAGCCGGCGGGCGCAATACTTGACCAGAGAAAACTGCCGAGTGACCTTGTGCCCAGGTTATAAGTAGCCCACAATTCCGATTTGGTAGCCTCCAACACGGATTGTTTGATGCTAGTGAGGCAGTCAGCGGGCAGGCTGGGAGGGTCGTCTCCGTAGAGAAATTCGTCGATAAAATAGCAGAGCCGACTGCAGTACCTCTCCCGGGCCAGGGGCGTCAGTACCTTGAGCGGCACAAGATCATAAGAGAGATTGACCTGCTCTTGTGTGTTTTTCGCGTGTCTTGGGTCACCGGTAAAATAAGGGATCAACCTCAGACCGTCTAAGCGAATACCTGTATCCTTGGGCTTACTACTGGGACCAGAGCCCATAAGTTGTGTCAATTTCGCAACTCGTTGGTGCAGATAGCCAGTTGCTGTGTATACAAATTCGTGCGCCCTAGTTGTGGAAAAGTCAATAAACGAAAGGTTAGGGACCTATTGCATCGCACATGTACGTAAAACTTACAATGCAATGTATCGAGCAATGAGGTCATGATGATCAGCTTGTCGCACGCTGAAACTGCCATATTGCGCTTCTATGAGGTCTAGGACTGCCATCAGGCCATCGAAATGAACCCTTGCGGCATCCAAGTTGCCGAAGCTGCTCTTCGCGCGATGGTGTAAGCAGTAATTTCTGTCACGGAGGGGATGTAGGTATTAATGCTAAACTTACATCGAAAATGCAAAGAGTGGATATCAGACGCACTGTCACAGCTATGTTGGTTGTTTTGAGGCTTTTGAGGTGGGCGTTTGCCAGGCCAATACACTCTATCTTGTGGAAGAGATAGGTGGGCTGGAAGGACCAGCTTTCTTTCGTCTTCCACGAGTAGTGCAAGGCTGATATTAGCAAAGAGAGTCGGAGCTCTGTTGGATCTTGGATTTTTAGGCTTTGAGTATTCGGCTCTGCACGCAAATCATTGGTGCCCCCACAAACGGAGACGTCTTTATTCCCGTGGTCAGCTACCTTGGCCACTGACTGATTATAGAAACCACACTCACAGTGGTGGAGAAGCTCTCGTGACTTATAAGGCATTTCTATTGGTAGAGAGTTGAAAGGATCTACAGGGCACTCTGAGACTTGCCAAGGGATATGTACGCCTGGCAGGGTCGAGTTCAGGCGTCTCCTGTCCCAAAGTGGGAGCGCCGGTGCTAGATAGCTACATTTCCGTCCTAAGTTGATACAGTTCGCGCTTGTTACGGTTGAGGTTAGCTAGAGAACACTGATCTCGTTTTATAAATATGGTTCAGTGTCTCCTGCCCGTATAATATATCTGACAGGAAGGCGGTAGGCGTCATGGAAAAAGGCGCTTACCACACGGGACGCGCTTCGTCGCAGCGGACGTGCCGTTCCTTGCACGTTGAACAGCCGCTGCGGTTACGGTTCACGAATCGATGTTTTCTAGAGCGAGAGCTTTTGCTGGGCATCTCTTCCACGCACTATTGACGAGACAGGAGTGTGCTAGATCGGCTTTTGGAGCCGGCCGCCGATGGAAGAAATAGCCTGTGGATGCCTAGTGCAAGGAAGGTAAGGGTACGTGGCCTCGGTGCGAATGAACAATTCTGGGTATGGTTTCGTTAGGTCTGGACACATCTTTAGCCCATAGAATCGTGGGCTTCATGGTAGTGATGGGAGAATATTCGAAGGGGTTCGCCTCAAACATTGCACAAAGGCACGCCATGTTGCGAGCCGAGCTGCCGCGCCGCGAGGGCCGAAGATGATGTAAGCGAAGCACTGGGCCAATCAACCAGTATATTAGTGCTTACCTCTTGCCTAACTGAGCGGTTTATCCGACAAAGGTTGGTGGGTTTTGTGATTTATGGGACCAGGTTGTGTGACACCAAGATCCATCTGTGGAACATGACTTCGAGTATCGAGCCATATCGCTGCAGTATGTGCTATACACACCTACTTTTGGTCATATACTTACTGACTTCTGGGTCTTAGCGTGTTAGAGACTCGACAGGCAAAGATATCTCTCTGTGGAGCTAACTTTGAGACACAAGACTTGAATGCGGGCTGGACTCTTGGTTGACGTCTATATAAGAACCTTGCCCATCCCCTCAGCATGAAGGCTGTGATATCGTTTATCTTCCAAATTGATCCGGTGCTGATATCTGAACAGCAAAATGTCACCTAGTAAGCCTGTTATCGTCCTTGTACCTGGCGCTTTTCATCGCCCATCAAGCTGGAACGCTCTAGCAGAGGGGCTTCGAAAGCAAGGTTACACTGTTCTTACGCCGCCTCTTGCTGTTTGCGGTGAAGCCACGGACGCTAAGCAGCTTGTTGGCACCACGGCCCTTGACGATGTCCGAATCATCCACAGCAATATCTTACCATTCCTAGATAATGGTAGAGAATGCGTCGTTGTCAGTCACAGCTACGGCAGTTTGCCTGCAACCCTCGCTGTAGAGGGCCAAACCATCGAGGAGCGGGCGGCTAAAGGGTTGAGTGGTGGTATCAAAGCGATGGTAACAATAGCCGGGTTTTCGTATCCAGTTCGGGGGAAAAGCATCATGGGAGATGATTCAGAGCCTCCTATCATGCCCTATCATGTGCTGGAGGTGCGTTTGTTGCTGTTGTACCACCAATGACGAGTATTTTCAAGGCTGACGAATGGCTACAGCAAGAGATTCTCCATCTCCAGGAGCCTGCCAAACGCCTCTTTTATAGTGACCTCAACCAGGAAGGACAAGACGCAGCATGGGAGAATCTGTCCAAAGCCCAGAGTCGCGCAAGCTTTTGCCATTTCCCCCAATTTATCACCTCGGATATCATGATTACGAAGATCTATATTCTTTGTGAGGAAGATAAGGCTGTGGATCCTTTATACCAGGAAGCCTTTGCGAAAATTGGGCAGTATCATAAGGTTGTAAGGCTTCAGTCCGGCCACTCTCCTTTCCTTAGCATGCCTGCACAGGTTGTAAAGGTTATCATAGGTGCTATATAGCTATAACCAGTCAGATCATAATATAGAGTAGTATAGCAATATAATAAAAGTCTAGAACTATCTCTCTATATTCTATAATCTTTTTCTCTCTCTCTTATATAATTTTAAAATATAATTTCTTTAAATATAACTATTTATTTTTTTATTATTAAAAAGAATTATATAAATAAATAAATATTAATATTTTTTTAATTTTTTTTAATTATTAATAAAATTATTTTAAAATTATATTTTTTTTATTAGTTTTACTATAAATAAAAATATATTCTAAGATTAGATAATATATAACTAGATTATATAATTTTTTTAAAAATATAATTAGTAATTTATATTTAAATCTTTAATATTATAAAATAAAGTTAAAATTAAATACTTTTAATCTAAATATAGATATTAATATTTTAAAAACTCTAATAATAAAAGCTATTTATATAGCTAGATATATAAATAGTTTAATTATAATTATAATTTCTAAAAGAAAAAGCTTATTATTTAATAATAATAATTATTTTTTCTTTTTAATTTAAAGTTTATCTTAATCTAGATTAATTAATTATATTATTAATTAATTACTTAATTAATTATTTAATTAATTAATTATTAGATAACTAGTAAGTTTTTAAATAATTATAATATTTAATATAAATATTCTAATCTCTTAAAGTTTAATTAATACTTTTAATAAAATTCTTAAAATAATAATTATTATTATCTAAGATAATTTAATATAACTATTTACTAATTATATTTATTATTATTTACTCTAGATATTAGATCTAGCTAGTTTTTAATCTCTCTATCTAATCTCTAATAAGAGAAAACCTTATATATAGAATAAAAATCTTATTCTACTTATTTTCTTTATAGCTTTATCTAGATACTAATATAGCTTCTAGTTTTCTATCTTTCTTTATTTATTTATTATATTTCTATTTTAGCTTTTATCTACTAGTTAATATAGATAGAATAGTTTTTAATTTATATTTATATAAAATATAATTTAGCTCTATTTTAGAATTAATTTCTTATAACTAGTTTTAAATAATTAATTTAAAAAGTATTTTTTCTATTATCTAATTAATTAATTTTATTTTTTACTTTCTAATTTTAATTTTCTTTCTAAAAATTATTTAAATAGGATTTTTTTATTATCTTTATTTTTTAATTTATCTAATCTATTCTCTATATATAGTTAGTATAAATCCAGTTTAATTCTTTAGCTTTATATTCTTTTCTATTTAATTTTTTTAATTATAGATTAAGAAGATATAATTATTATACTAATTTAGATTAATTATAATATAGATTTCTTATATATTTATTATTATTTATATAACTTTTTAATATTTAGTATATTTTTCTTATAGATTTTTAGATTATTTAGATTATTTATACTTTCTTCTATATCTATAAATACTTTCTTTCTTTCTAACTTCTTTTTCTTTTTTTTTCTCTTTCTTCTTTATATAATTAAATAATTAGATAAATTTCTTTCTTTCTCTATATTAACTCTAATATAAATAAGATTTAGAGTAGATCTTATTCTATATTATTTCTATACTTCTTTTATTCTATCTTACTCTCTACTCTCTACTACTATATAGATCTAGTCTATTCTCTCCTCTTCTACTTTATCTCTAGTTCAGCCTCTAGTCTTTTCCAGTTCTTACTATCCTAAGACTAGTTACTAGTAGTATATTAGTAGTATAGCTACTAATAGATATACTATCTGCTGGGTTATACTATATAATAATTAGATATATTTAGTTAAGAGCTATATATATTATTTTTTATAATCTCTATTATCTTATTAAGATTTATATTATTTATAATAATTAAAACTCTATAAATAGAAATAATTATAGAAAATAATATATTATAAATATTTAATATTAATAATATAATATAATTAATTAATTAATTAAAATAAGTTTTAAATTAAAAAGAAAAAATAATTATTATTATTAAATAATAAATTTTCTCTTTTAAAAATTATAATTATAATTAGATTATTTATATATCTAGTTATATAAATAGCTTTTATTATTAGAGTTTTTAAAATATTAATATCTATATTTAGATTAAAAGTATTTAATTTTAATTTTATTTTATATTATTAAAAATTTAAATATAAATTACTAATTATATTTTTAAAAAAATTATATAATTTAGTTATATATTATCTAATTTTAAAATATCTTTATTTATAATAAAACTAATAAAAAAAATATTTATTTAGAAATAAAAAAAAATTAATTATTTAAAATTATTTTTTTTATTAGTTTTATTATAAATAAAAATATATTCTAAAATTAGATAATATATAATTTAATATATATTTTTTAAGAATATAATTAGTAGTTTATATTTAAACCTTTAATATTATAAAATAAAATTAAAATTAAATACTTTTAATCTAGATATAAATATTAATACTTTAAAAACTCTAATAATAAGAGTTATTTATATAGTTAGATATATAAATAGTCTAATTATAATTATAGCTTCTAAAAAAGAAAACTTATTATTTAATAACTATATTTACTTACTAAGCTTATTAGTTATTAATTATTATATAGTATAACTAAGTATATATAAATAGATATTAGATTAATATTAAATCTATATTATTTCTAATAAAAATTTTCTATAATAGTAAATATATATTATACTTATTTTTTTTTTTATTAGTTTTATTATAAATAAGAATATATCCTAAGATCAGATAATATATAACTAGATTATATAATTTTTTTAAGAATATAATTAGTAATCTATATCTAAACCTTTAACTCTATAAGATAAAGTTAGATATTATACTTTCAGTCTGAATATAGATATTAATACCTTAAAAACTCTAATAATAGGAGCTATTTATATAGCTAGATATATAAATAGCCTGGCTATAGC